TCCCGGTGACAAAATGAGACCTTTTCACAAAAACAAACAAACAATGTAACTTTACTTGTTTGTAAAAAATTAAGTAAGAAACTAACTTGTCAATGTAACTTTCCTTGTGTAGTTGCATCACCCACCATTGATTTAATGCATTTAAATGGGCACAAATAAAGTAAAGGAAGAACATGACATAGCATTTACTGAGTATCTCTAATATAGGACACTGGATCAGTAAACTGGAATTATTTGCTTCAATAAACTTAATGATGTAATTTCTACCCTACCTTCACTTTCAACTGGGCAAATGTTCTTATGCTTCCATTTTTTTTTTTGCCCAGCTCTTTGCACGGCCAGCCAAACCTGCAAGGTAGAAATGTATTATAATAAAGACAGTGCTTGACATCTTGCTGGCAGAGGACCACAGAGAAATTAGTAAAAACTTATTCACAGTTTAAACTTTTGATCCTGGTTTTCACCAACAGCTTTTCAACTCTACCTGAATTAGATCTGGGTTCTAGGAAGATTTGTTTGTGCGGGCAGATACCTTTATTCAGATGAGACAATATAGAAAAGCAGAAGATCCAAGTTACCAAGAACAGGCTGGGTTCAAATCCTACTTAGAATCTGCACATACCTGGGAGAGGGATATGAACCCATCTGTGCCTCTGTTCCCTATTCTGAGATGTGGAAACGTTAGTACATCTATGCTATAGACCTACTAAGGTCCATAGTGCCTAAAAGAAAGAAATGCAGATAAAGACTTAAAAAGACTCATGTTTTTGTAAATGCCCTAAAATGTTCAATCAATGTCGGGAAGAATAATCCAGATACTTGGTAGAGGTTGAATACAGAGAGGGAGCTTGCATTTCTCCTGTGCAGGGTAGGATGGAAAGTGACTTCACAGTTTCCATGGCCACATGATTTTCAGCTCATGACAGAGATCTGTGATTTCTCTGATCTCTACATCAGCGCCAAGGGACAGGCAGGGAAGGGGCTACAACCCATATTTTCCAATTCAGTGAATTAAAACTCAGAGATTTTGAGTGACTTGCCCAGAGTCACCACAGTGAGGAGTGACAGATCTGAGGTAAGAATGTAGTTGGTTCCCTGGGGGTAGACATCCTGGAACACCTGAGTCCTCCAGATCATGCCCTGGACCCTGGACCGAGGGCTCTTCTCACCAGCTTTGTCAAATCCTGCTGCCCCAATATATCTGTGGGATGGTTGATGCTCTGGAGATGTGGCAGGTGGCTTACCGCATTGACTGACCTACTCTTTTATCCATATGTTGTCACTTTTACTAGTTTTATGACCCATAAGGCAAACATTTTAAGTCTCTGTTATGATGTACGGTCTGAGATTTTACCGGAATCCACTCTTTCCACCCATCAGGTGATTCTCAACTGCTGAGCTGGAGCTGGTCTCCCATAAAAGAGGACACATGGCATACCACAGATCTGCTGCATGCCCCACTCCTGTGCACACGCCATACCACGGAGCTGCTGCATGCCCCACTCCTGTGCACACTCTTGCCTTCCTTCTGCTTTCCCAGCTCTGACAATCCTAATTCTGGCTTCCAAACCAATCCTGTATGTCCCTCTCAGTTCTCAGACTTGCCTGAACTGTTGCATGTATGCCATATATTTAGAATTTACATTCTTGATGTACTCAGTCTTCTTCTTAAAACCAGCCTCCTCATATGTGACACAACCATAATTCCCATTTTACACCTAACTCAAAAGATTGAGAGGATAAAATAAAATGAAAGGGCAGTCTGTATACTATGTAATGCACAATAAATTATAAAGCAAAGCTTTCTCTAATTAACTCAATGGCAAAAAGCGCACAGTTAACATCCTTCACAGAGCCCATAGCAAAACAACATTTTGAGAAAATATGCACTTTGGCTACCCAGTGAAGTTAAGGAGAAAACTGTCACAGGTCATCATGAAGACTTCACCAATGTTGGCTTTTATTTTTAAATAATGAAATACACATTATTTCCCCTGCTTTCTTTCATGTATATGACTGCATGTTCTTTTTGCTTTTCTGCATACCCTATCTTGGGAATCACTCCATAGCAATAAAAAGACATCTTACTCTTTTTTACAGCTCCATACTTCTCCTTTATGTAGAAGTACCAGCTTATTTTACCAGTCCTTTACTAGGCATGTCAGTTATTTCCAATATTTGACTATTGAAAATAATGCAACACGAACTTTGCACATAGTTTATTTTACATTTATGGAGTATACCTTCAGGATAAAATTCCTCAACGTTGGATGTCTAGTTTAAATGCATTTGCAAGGTTGTGAGATTGCGCCAAATTCCCCTTCATGGAGTTGAGCCTTTTTGCATTTCCACCAGCAATATATGAATGAAACTTTCCTTACAGCCAAACCAAAGAAAGTTTTGCCATGTTTTTGGAATTTCCCTCAATAGGAGAAACAGTAGAGCTGTCATTTGCCTTTCTCTTATGAGTGAAGATGTGTTTACAAATCACTTGCATTTCTTTTTCTGTGACTGGTCTATTTACCACTTTATCATCTACTTTGAGATTCACTTGATTTTCTCAAATCAGCCTCTTTCAGGTCATTGTTACTCTTCTTTTCACTGTTGGCTCTCACCTGAACTACTCCACCAGCCTCCGAGCTGCTCTTCCTGCTTCCACCTGTGCCTGTATTACAGCATATTCGCGTGGAGCCACTGCTCAGTCTTTCTCTTAGAGAATTAACGGTAACCACTGGGCTATAATCCTCCAGTGGTTTTCCATGTCAACTGAAGTCCATCTTCTCTGTGAGTGCTCACTACGTGTACAAGGCCTTCACCCACCTTATTCATCCCAGCATCCATTCCACTCTGCTGCAGCCTTGTGTCTTTCTGGCCTTTGCCTAAAACAACTTTGTTTCTATTTCAGGAATTCCAAAGCAGATATCCCTCCTGGAAGCCCTCTCCCATCATCCTCACAAGGTTCCCTTCACTTTTTTATTTTTAAAAATTAATAAGATGGGGTGTCTCTGTGTTGGCCAGGCTGGTCTTAAACTTCCAGCCTCAAGGAATCCCCTCATCCTGGCTTTCCAAAGTGCTGGGAAAAAAGGTGGGAGCCCCTACACCCAGCCCATTTCACTTTTAAGACTGTTCACATGTCACTTAAAGAGAACATCCAGCTCTTACCCCCAACTCTCCATAAAACTGCCCTCCTCTTTAATCCATCACCCTGTTTTACTTTCTTCCCAGCATGTTGCCACCTGTCATTCTTGACTATTCATGTGCTATCTGCCCTTACCTCCCTATCGAATGCAAGGGTCAGACTTGGAATGGGGCTCTATGTTGTGTTCCACTGTTTGCCCTGCATCTCCAACACTGCCAGGCCATTTAAAAGTGCTCAATAAATAGATTTCATTTTACCCCAAACTAGAATTCTCCCAGATCTGCTAGAGTTGTCTTTTGATTTATCATCTAAGACAGCATCAGATTTTTTAAAACTGGTAGCTCTTTAAAGACACAAGCTATCAAATATCCACACAAACATAAATTAAGAATGTTAATGTCTATTTAAAAGTCAATTGTAACTGCAGTTTGACACAAGTATATTTAATACTAAACTACCTTAAATACAAAATGACTCATTTCATGGGTTTAATTATGTCACTAGACAAAATATATAATCTGAATTTGTAATGAGATATCACGCATCTGTCATCAACATGTGCTTTATGTGCCTTCTTAGAATCAAACATAACAGGATTGTGTCTGACTTTATGAAAAAAGGCGGCCAATCGCAAAGGGTAGGTAAATAAATAGTGCTCTAACCAGTCGTAGTACACTAAGCAGTTATTCAAAGTCATCAGGTACAGCAGGGTGCCCTGGCAGCCAAAGACATCCTGGGGTGCTCTCTAGGTGTCAAGTACTGTTTGAGAAACTTATGCCATTATTTCACTGCTTTAAGTAAAAGTTACAGGGCAGCACATATAAAATAATCAAAAAGTTTTATTTTACAAAAAAGTTTGTGAAATAAAATATTATATTCAAATGCATACCAAAAATTTCCAAAAGAACCAGTACTCAAATAGTAACACAAGTGAGCTCTGGGTATTCTGAGTATAATAAATAATTTTTCTTTATTTTCTACTTCTTTTACATGAAACTCACTGACAGTTATTTTAAAAGGAGCGTTGAAAATAGCTACTGGAAAGCGGAAAGACCTGTTGCTCAGAGGTCTCTACATCATATGCCCATTCTTTTCCTTCCCTGACACCTCACTTGAGAGAACCAGAAAATTAGCAGCGCTCCTATGGTAAGAACACAAAAGGCTGCATGGAAAGTTGATGGCTAGTGAGAAAATTGGATATGAGCTCCTACTATCTTAATCTGTGTTACTTATATTACCCCCAGTCATATTAGATGTACTGCTAAATAAAGGCAAGATAGGAGGAAGTATGCTTGAGTCTGTCTGAGATCTAAAGTGGTTTCTTGGAACGTCTCTTTGAAATGGCTTCAAGACACAATGTTCTTTTGAAATATTTCAGAAAAGAACATGAAGCAGAGCATCATTTATGGCATGAGCTCCTGAAACAGGACTTGGCACCTAGAGAGCACTCCAGGATGTCCTTCCACAGCAGTGTGCCCTGCTCTACCTGGTGACTTTAAATGTTTAGTGTGCCACAGAATGGTTGGAGCACTGGTTGCTGTGATAATTGTGTAAGTCACCAAAAGAATTCAATTCCTCATTATAGAAAGGCTAAAATATTTCACATCTAAGTAGGAATTTATCACTTCCCAAGAAAAGTGATACACAATTTTCTGAAATAAATATATCAACAACAAGCTTTGAACGTGTCTATACTTTATATTGAGTGTTCTCAACATGCTTCTTTCTTGTTTTATTTGCCCTGCCAGGCTGGAGTGTATTGGCACAATCTCGGCTCACTGCAACCTGCAACTCCTGGATTCAAGCGATTCTCCTGCCTCAGCCTCCCAGGTAGCTGGGATTACAGGTACGTGCCACCATGCCTGGCTAATTTTTTGTATATTTAGTAGAGACGGGGTTTCATCATGTTGGCCAGGCTGGTCCCGAACTCCTGACCTCAGGTAATCCACCCACCTCGGCCTCCCAAAATGCTGGGATTACAGGCATGAGCCACCATGCCTGGCCAAAAAATAAACACTGAAATTGTGGTTTCTGTTATCCCTCTATTGAATACCACAAAAATACATTTGAAGAGACACATAGAAACTTACTGTCATGCACATACACATAAAATGGTAAATTCTGTACTCACAAACTATTTTTTCTTCAACTGCTCTGACCTAACACTTCTGACTTGTATCCTGTGCTGAATGTGTGGGGCCTTACCTGCCCTCTGGCCAGCTTCTCCTGACCAGGGCATTCTCAGCTTCAAATCAGTTAGCAGAAGAAACTCTTCAACATTAATTAAACTGTTGATTTGACTGGTAAATTTAGGCCATTTTGTTACCTCTATTTTTATCCTTATCCATTTCAATAAATGTGTAGACAGAAGGTGGAGCCAGGAGAGACAGCACAGGCCTGTACTGTCAGCCCTTCTCCAGGCTGAGGCAGCAGGAGTGCTTAAGCCCAGGCCAGGAGTCAGAAGCCGGCTTGTACCACACAGTGAGGACCAATCTCTTTAGGATGAAAAATAGAGAGGTAAATGTTGCCTGTAAGTTGTATAAAATAAAATGCAAAAGGAACTCATCAAGATGAAAGTAACTTCTAAGAGAGGTCTATGTTATGGGTAGGCCTTAAAATATAAGACATTCTGGAGTTTGTCAAGTTCTTTAGGAACTGAGTTTGGCATCACTACGACCTCCATGTCTACTCTGACGACTTAGAACCTCAGTTCTGATCAGTAACTGTCTCACACAGTCCCTTCAGATCTCTAAGCCTTCCTTTCTGCATCAGCAACATAGGGAGAATACACACAGGCCTTATTGTACTTGGAAGGTTCCGATAAGATGTACATGAAAACACGTTTTACATCCAAAAGAATAACCAAAAGGCTCATTTTGTTCTCTCACTACCTCATCTACCAAATCATACAGAATATGACACAGAGGCTTGCCATACACACCAAGCAAGGAGTTTCCACAGGTACTTGCATGCTTGTGTATAAGGTGCAGTCTATTAAGTCTCATAATTATTTGTTCATTCTTTCACAATTTTTCAATATTCTGAAAAGGGAGTACAGCACTTCCTTGTTACAAAGGCACACCCACTGTGAGGCTTAATTATTCTGTGAAAGAAAATAAGAGCCAAACTGAAGTTTAAATACAAGAGCTGTAAGACATTTTCTCCATACTAATAAAATCTCTGCCATTAAAATGAAAGAAATGAGCTGATCATATTTCTGTCTTTATGATATAATGTTTTCTATTTCAGTGGACTTAGTTTTTGTTCAAGGAACTGGTTACCCAGAATTATCTGTAGCTAGATTCATCTATTTCTAAACTCCTAAAGGATTTTAGACTGAAGGCTGCTGGCCCTGGCTGATGACTATCACCCAAAAAGCCTATGTCACCCGGTTACCAGGAAACAACCAAGTCAGGCTAGTGGCTCACAATGCCCTGCCCCACAGCCCCACCCAATGGCTCACAATGCCCATCCCTGCTGCTGCCCACCTTGTGGTCACCTGCCCCAAAGTGTGACTGCATTATTCATCCTGGGCTGCCTGAGCTTTCCAGTCCTGAGAAAAGTGTGTGTGTGGAGGGGAGGGTGGTTGTTATTTGGAAGTCACCCTGGGCGCTGAACTCAGCAGAAAACCCTAGTTACTAGTGTCACTTCCATTAGCATCTCTAGTTTTCTGAGTCTGGTAGCTTTCATTTGCTCAACAAATGTAGTGATACACAATGTTTGACTGATTTTGTAACTAAATGCTCCTCTCCTGTCTTACAAGTGTTAGTTTTTGTCTTCAATTTGACCATAGCAAAAAAAGTAGAATGTTTCTTCTCTCCACCCCTTTCCCATCCTGTAGGAAGGGGAGCCATGAAAACAAACTCTCTTCCACAGGCAGGGTCTGGCCTTCCAACTCTCAAGTCTTTACCTTACAAATTCAAGTCTAAAGTCATTTCATCTCTTTTGGAACCTGTAACCACAAGCTAGCTCTACCCATCTCTGAGAACAAGGAGGTGAACAAAGCCCATGAAGTTACTGGAGTAGGGCTGAAGAGACATTCATGTCACAGTGGGAATTTTAAAGTAATCAGAGCTCCACAGCTAAACTTTTGGGTAAAACCAAAACCAAAACAACTTTTTTTTTACAGCTCTGGCAGCAACATTTCATACCTTTTGCAGTCATTTTTAAGCATGTCCCTCAAGTTTTCCTTCGGTTTTCAAATTACAATTGGAAGAAATCAAGCTGTTTCTGTCAAGGTGACTTAAAACCATCTATTAAGAACAACATATAATCTCTTCCATGGCAAATTCTATTTTAAATTTAAGAAGTCTCCAAATATTTGAGTCTGAATTATCCCAATTATTAGCTTTCTTATTGAATAGGAGAAAATAAGTGATTGGGCCTTTAACCGGCTCCTTCACTGAGGTACAATCCTAGCTGGATAGGCCAGGCTAGAGGATGGGATGGAGACTCCAAAAAGGCCTCAAGCAAGAAGGTTCAACAACAAAGACAAGAGGCAGGACTAGCCTTTGTCCCCCATGCAGCCCTGGGAAAGCTGGCTATAGGCAGGAGGGAGCTGGAAGCTGAGGATGTCTCTGAGGTGAGGGGATGGGAAGGAGGTGGGGGAGGTGGTGGCCAGAGATGTGCCAGAGAGCAAATGGCACCCATGGCTTCTTTACCTTTGCGCCTCTTTGTGTTGGTGGCAGGCTCTGCAGTGGTGGATACTGGTGCTGCAGCTGCCACAGACTCAGTCTTGGATTCACAGCAAGGTGCCACCTTCTGCCTGCAGCAGGCACAACAGAGGCCAGCGCTGGGGCCTAGGCAGCAACTGAGTGTATTTCCCATGGGGTATCTAGAAGGGGACCTTCAAAACAA